AAGAAGACCCTCAGTGAGATGGATGGACAAAATGGCAGCATAAATGGGATCAAGCGTGGCAATGATAGTGAGGTTGGCCCAGGACTGGGCAGTGTTTCATTCTGTTTTGCATAGGGTCGCTATGAGTCGGTACCAGCTCAATGGCACATTACAACACCATGTATATATATATACTATATACATATATGCAATGTATTTTGTGTGCTTGAATAAGGTAGCTCATGTACTATTAGCCTGGTTTTAAACTTCAGAATCTAGTTGTATGTAATGGCACACATAGAAAGAACCTCAGGTTCTTCTCAAGAATGGTTAATTACATGTATGCACTGGATTAATGAAATGGATTACCTTTCAAAGCACACCCATGCTGAGGCTATTTTAAGGGAAAATAAGTTTCCCTATTATATAAGGGTGTGTCCAAAATTTATGTGACAAACAGATTTCTAAAAGTTGAACATCATGTTTGGCTTGCTTAGCCTGACAATTCTGTAGGTGAATCATTTCAGAAAGTAAGCATTTTTCTTTAAACACAGAAAATCATATTCGTTATAGATAATTGATACACAATAGAATAACACACATCAATATATTTAGAAAAATGTATTATCTCCTTGCTATTAAATGCATTAATAGTTGCTCCACTGGAAAGGCAACTCAGTGATAAAAGCAGATTTTTAAAATGACATACTAATCCTACCATCAATTACTGTTGCTGTAGAGTCTGTTTCGACCCATAGTGATCCTGTGTAAGGTTCCTGAGGAGCACCTGGTGAGCTTGAATTGCCAACCTCATAATTCAAACTGACTTTGAGGTCCAGTGCATTAACCCACAACTCCAAGGACATCTTTTATCTAAATAAACCAGGACCCATAAATAGTTACCCACTTTAATTTCATTTTGGATTACCTGCTAAAAAATCTGGTATTTTCTCTAGAATATCTTTAAAATTCCATTTTATTTTTCCAAATTGCAAAGGTGAAAGAAAACTAAAGAAGTGCCAGCCAAAACATGATTAGAGAATGCCGAGCACCAGAAGTCCTGATGTAGCACTGTAGGATAAGCAATGGACTGCAAGGTCCATGGTGATTCAAACTCACCAACCGCTTCATGGAAACCCTATATAGGGTCACTGCGAGTTGGAACTGACTCAACAGCACTTAACAACGAGCACATATGAAGAAAGGACATACCAAGTTTTCTTTTTCTTTTAAGTCCCCGATTGATGGCTTGTATCTTGCTATTAGGAATAACCCCAGTGTCTATAACTTCCTTAGATCTCTGTAGGAAACAGAAACAAATCATTAAAATAGCTTTCAATCAGGAAAATATTATATGATCTCACTTTTATAAAAGACAAAATACACATAGAAACCAATGTTGTTAGTTACCAAGGGAGTACCTGGTGAGCTTGAACCACCGACCTTATGATTCAAACCAAGCTTTCAGTCCAGTGCATTTACCTGCAGCACTGCACCACCAGTTATTTATGATGATGGCAAAGGCATCATAGAATGTGGATGAAATGTATACAGCCTGACCAACATAAATGACATCACTTAGAAGTAACAAGAAAAAAGGGCATTTTTGGTAAATGTCAGGACATATATAATTCCACAACAGTGGTATATATGTATGTATATGCACCTATATGTATACAGGTATGCATACATGTGTAACTGTGTGCACATATATACATGGATCTATACACAAAGATAAGCACTGGACTTCTAATCCCTAGTTTGGTAATTCAAACCCACCAGTCACTCTGTCTGATTCCATAGAGATTTAGACTTGGAAACCGTATAAGGGCTGCCATAAGTTGGAATCGACTTGATAGCAGTGGACTTGATTTTATATATATACATGTATGTATATGTAATAAAGCACAAAAGCACACAGAGGGCACAGTTATAGATACTTTTTAGATAAAATCAAACAACTCATGGGATTAGTTTTCTGGGTTTGAGGCCTTAAGACCACAGTCTTGCTGGGACAATTCAGTTGGCATAATGTAATTCATGAAATTTGTTCCAATCCTAGGGTAGTGAGTAGTGTCTGGAGTCTTAAAAGCTTGCAAGTGGTCATTTAAAATACAATTATTGTTCTCTTCTCATCTGAAACAAGAGAGAAAGAAGGAAACCAAAGACTTGGAAGAAGCCAGTATATAGGACTAACATTCTACACAAACCCCGGCCTCCTCTATCTACCCAGAGAGCAGAAGAACTAGATGGTGCCCAGCTACCACTAATATTGTTCTAATCAGGGCCACAACAGAAGGCTCCTAATAAAAGGGAGAATATGTGGAACAGAACTCAAATTCTTAGAAAGTCCTGACTTACTGGACCAGTTGAGACTAGAGGACTTCCTAAGACTATTACTCTTGAACTGAAACTACTCCAAGGACACCTTTTATCTAAATAATACATAGACTCATATAAGAAATCACGTTGCCTGTGAATATCACACACATAAAAATAATAATAATAATCTATGTAAGACCAAATGGTCTAAAGAAAAGATAAAAGGGTAAGGGGACAGGGAAACCAGATTACTCGAAACAAAAGATCCAGAATGGAATCAATGTAAATGTTGACACATTGTAAAAAATGTAACTAATTTCACTGAGCAATTTGTGTTTGTTGTTAGGTGCCAGTGAGTCAGTTCTGATTCATAGCTATCCTATGCACAACAGAATGAAACACTGCCTTGTCCTGTGCTGTCTTCACAACTGGTGTTATGTTTGAGCCCTTTGTTGTTGCCACTGTGTCAATCTATCTTGTTGGGGTTCATCCTCTTTTTCGCTAATGCACCACTCTCCAAACATGATGTCCTTCTCTAGGGAGTGATCCCTTCATATAACATTTCTGAAGTATGGAAAATGAAGTCTAGATATCCTGACTTCCAAGGAGCATTCTGGCAATACTTCTTTCCAAACAGATTTGTTTGTTCTTCTGTTACTTTTAATATTCTTCTCCTACACCATAACTCAAATGTATCGATTATTCTATGGCCTCCCTTATTCACTGGCAACTTTCACATGCATATATTGTGGTGTTAAACGCCTTTGAGACAGTTTCGACTCATAGGCTGTATAGGGCTTCTGAAGAGAAGGGGTAGGCTTGAACCACCAACATTGTGGTTAGCAGTCTAGTACTTATCCTGAGACTACTGAAACTACCATGGGTTGGATCAGGTGCCCCCCTATCCTAAAATTGGTATCTTTGTTCTATAACACTTTAAAAAAGACGTCTTGCACAATACGTCATTTAGTTTCTTGATTGCTGCATTCATGAGTGTTGAGGATCCAAGCAAAATGATATCTGACAATTTCAATCTTTTCTCCAATACAATTTGTGTGTTGTTGTGGTTGTTAAGTGCTGGAGACTGATTTCCGACTCATAGCTACCCTGCGTAGGGTTTCAGAGGAGCAGCTGGTAAGTTTGAGCTGCCGGCCTTGTAGTTCAAATGACCTTGCAATCCAGTGCTTAGCCTACAGTGCCAAACAACTAGGAAACCTTAACATTATAAAATAGACCTATAATTAATAACTGAATGGTCATATTTGGGAATATTTATATAATCAATAAAATGTAATTGTTTAAAATAACACTGTAAATACTTAAAAATAGAATATTTAATAGTATTCAAATACATCTCTTTCTCTCAACACATGTAAATAAAGACTAAAAGGAAGCTATCACAATGTGTGCTGTTGAAATTACTAGTGGTTTTATCTTTCATTTTCACAACTCCAAAATTTTCTCTAAAAACATGTATTGCTCTTATAATCATAAAAATCTATTAAATGCATAAAACTCTAATCTACACCTTCATTAAATACCCTTGAAATGCTTGCAAAAACATCTGTTGTTTAAATTGGTCAGATTAAAGATCTCAACATTGTTTCCTATACACTGATACACCATGCCTGGTTAATATTGTTTCCTTTACTAACCAAAAGGTCTTTTTCCAGGCTGTAGGGAGCATCTTTAGTGTAGTGGTTACAAATCGGGCTGCTAATCCCAAGGTCGGCAGTTCAAAACTACCAGCTGTTCCACAGGGGAAAGATGAGGCTTTCTGCTCCAATAAAGATTTACAGCCTCAGAAACCTTGTGCAGGGTCACTATGAGTTGGAACTAACTCCATGGTACTTAACAACAACAACAACAGGGAGCATCTACAGCCTGACAATTGGTATACAGTGCAAAGTGGAGGGCTGTGCAAGGAGGCAGAGAAAAACAGCAAGTGGTACCATAACTTCCACCCTTCTTAGGTTGGATCAGTCACTCCACCCAGCAGGATTGCAACATGGCCGTACCACATAACTTTAGGGAGCACCATCATATTGTATTCCTTGTGAAGAACATGCCTAGATTATTAGACAGCAAAGAGGAACCACTAAAATTATGTAGCACACAGCTTCACCTAATATATGGAAGGAACTAAACTTGACTCTTAGCTTATATAAAGATGTTGCAGACTTCCAAGAAGTCTATGTTCCCAGAAAGTTGCCCCACATAAGTTGACAATCTTTTAAATGACAGGTTAGGTAGTGTTTTTAGGGTCCTTCAAGCTAAAAAATTACCATGGCTAATTTAATCAGACAGACCAAATAGAAACATTATCAAAGGCAGAAACAAAGACACAATTAGTAAATGTAATTCAATTTCAACAAAAATAGCATGCTAACTTCATCTCCTGATGTGTAAATAGACCATGCAGACACTACCGTTCGTCACTGTGTTTACATGTGCCTTGCTGGTGTAAAAGATAGCACCTTATAGAGTCTCCAGTGAGTAGTATCCAACCTGTCTAGGAAGGGCTGATGAAATGAAATGCAGATGGGTCTCTGTGATACAATAGTGAATAACTGTTATCAGGACTGATTGTGAGGATTGGAAATGTAAAGGTAGATGTTTTATAGCAAGGAGGGGAGTGATTAACTTTTCAGTCTAGGAGCAGAAGGCCCTGGGACCATCAATGGAGAAGAGTGGAGAGTGGGACCCTACCCATAAAAGCGGTGATGCCTGAGATGGAAGCAGAAATGATGACGTGGAGTGATGGAGCAGCTGAGGACTTGAGATCCAGACAGAGAAAGGGGCTGTGTGCTGATGATCGGGGGTGGGGAGTGGGGGTGGGATTAAGGGGGAAGGCTTGCAGCGTATACCCTTTGGTCGGTTGATGATGCATGGACGGGATTGTAACTATGGCAATGAAATGATATATGACAGAATGAGTGTAAAACTAATGTTCTCCCATGTAAACTATCACATAATTCACAATAAAACATTTATTTTAAAAAAAAAAAAGCTAGCACCTTAACACAAATCAAAACAGAAGCACCAAGTTGGTGGGAAAATGGAATGAAAGATAATGAAAAATTTCCAAAACTTTGTGAAGACCCCTTGTATTTAAAATGTACAACTGGATGGGTTTTAGATACAATACACACACACACATACAGACCGCAGCCAGCATGTCAATAGATGAACATGATCTACTTCTCCAAAATTTCCATCAAGAAAGTATGTATCCTTTTAAAATTCTGTGTGACTAAATGGCTTGTCGATATGTGAGTCATTCCACTGGACCATCAGATCTAAGAAATAGAAAAGGGTCTGGTACTCACTGACCTGGCCCCAGGTGACTAGGGATGAGAGAGAGGAAGGATCAATACCTCCTGATCTAGCGCTGGGTGAATGAAGATGAGGATGAAGGGGCTGTGTGGAGTAGCAGGGGTCTGAGCTCAGCAGGGACAAGAAGCTGAGATTTCCCTGGGCTGGTTTGGGATCACAAGTTGGTGTCAATAGTAGGTGGTATGGTGCTGTGGGTTAATGCGCTGCACTACAAGGTCAGTTTGAACCTCAAGGTCAGTGGTTCAAGCTCATCAGTTGTTCCATGGAAACCCTATATATTGGGTTGCTATGGGTCGGAACTGACTGGACAGTACTTCACAACAACAATAATAAATGGCTCATAAGTACTTCAGCTGCAGGCTGAAGTTTGATGACTGACTCAGGGAAAAAGCATTTCTGAGACTGAAATGTGAGCTAAATTAAACACTTCTCAAGAAAAAAATTTGTGTTTTTACTTGTTTCATGTGTTTTGGCAAGGTTTTTAATTGCTTAAGGTAGGAAGTATTCAGGAGTGAATTGTATCCTCCCAAAATATACTGGAAGCTACAAAGTCAGAGATCATTCATCAAATCCCATCTACTATTGACACCAATTTGTGCTATCAAACCAACCCAGGGACATCTCAGCTTCCTGTCCCTGCTGAGCTCAGACTCCAGCTACTCCATCCACACAGTCCCTTCATCCTCATCTTCATTCAAGGCTACGTTAGGAGGTACTGATCCTTCCTCTCTCTCATCCCCGTTCACCTGGCGTCAGGTCAGTGAGTACCAGACCCTTATCTATTTCTTAGATCTGATGGTTCAACGTAATAACTCACATAACTACAGGGAAAGGGCTATCTTTAATCAAGAAGGAAAAAGGATATAAACACAAAGGGTGAGGTCCAGGAGAGGTCTCAGCAGAGAGCTCTATCCCCCAGGGGACATACTTAACCTCTGGAGAGCAGAATGGTTTGCTTTCTCCAACCTAGAACCTCCAAGATCTTTTACTGGCCTCACCATGTGGCCATGAAAGGTGGTATCAGGCCTCTACAGGCATAGTCAGCACTGGACTCTAAGGTGATCCCTTAGTCTGATCAAGCCACCACTCACTGGCCTCAGGTATGGCCCTACTCTCAGAAATCAGGACCAAAGGTCAAAATGTTTACTGCAAAGTGTCTTTATACTTTAAAGAGTCCTAAATCCTATACTTGTGAATGTAGCATTATGTACTATAATACAGTTTAATATAATCAGTCCATTTAGGTCATACCAGTATAGGGTAGATCCTATACCTAATCCCTTCTGGGTGAGACAGGAAGAGGAGCACAGACACAGAGACATGTGAGCCCACATAGGGGAAAGGAGAGACCATCTGAGGATTGGCAAGAATCAAAGAATGCCTGAGATTTTGATAAAGGGATCAACATGGCTAGGACCCTCATTTACACTGGAGCTTCCAGAGCTATGAGAAATACATGTCTGTTTGTTAAAGCCACCCACTTGTGACATTTGTGTTGTTAGTATGAGACAACTGAGACAGAGGTAAATTTGGCCCATGACATTACATTTTGGCCCAAAGCAGAAATTTTATTCCAAATTTGCCTTTCTTAGGCCCATTTAGTTGTGGTAATTTATTCCATACATTCTTTCATGGCTCTGCAGAGTTCGAAGAATCCTGGCATGTTTAGTGTGTCCAACACAGGTGTCCACATTGTTGATTTTCTTGGTCTATTGCCCTAAGGAGTGGTAATCAGAAAAGGACCTAACACTTCCAGTGTAAAAGTAGCCTCATTTTATCACGGTTGCACAGGACTAGATGACACTTTCTATTTTAAGACACAGGTATGTTAGGGTAAAAAGAACACTGGAGTCAAAAGACTCAGGTTCAACTCCTTGCTCAGATACATTATACTGTGTGATTTTGACAAACTTACTGAACAGCCCTGTGCACCCTACTTGTTCCCTCTATAAATAGGTACAAGCATGTATTTCACAGGTTGTTACAAGAAAGAAATGAGATAATTGGTAAGAAAATATTTTGTAATCTGTACAGTACAAAGACAAAATGAAGCATCTTTTCAATACTCTCGACAGTTTTCAATTTTGCTAACACACTCCATGCTAAAAACCTCTAAGCTATTTCAGCATATTAAAAATTCTTAAGTAAGTAATAGTTAATATAAAAAAATGCATCACCTTCTAAGTAAATGTTTAAGTATTTTCCCTTAAACCATAGTTTGAATCAGAAAATCAAGTCTATCTATGACTCAACATCATTTTTAATACTCATTATAAGTCTAAATTGCAAATTCTTAACCCTATTTATAAATATTTGAATTTTATCTACATTGTTGGAATTGTGACACTGCATGAGTGAATAAAACACATCAATTCTTTGGGAATTATGCTGCATATTTGGCTGAAATTGCACAAAACATAAGCAAGTTAATAAATGATATCAATTACTTACTTCTGTAACATTATGGCAAGAAGTACAATAATATTTGCCTTCATCAGTAAGACCCCAAGAGACAGCAGCACACTGTGTACAGCGTTCTTTGAAATCTTTCTAGAAGAGAAGATACAAAAGGTGTTACTATCAAACTTCATTCAATACATGTACTTAAACTCTACAGTTCTACTTAAAAGTATCCCCTATCATTTTACTCTATAAACAAAACATCATAGAAAATAGATGCTTTGCAAACTGTCTCTTGACCAATATGAAACTACAATAAACTATTAGAGTAAAATTTCTAAAATTGGCAGAAAGGGGGAAAAAAAGAAAAAAAAGTAGTAGGCATAAACTTGGAAACAGAGAAAAGTAAATAAAAACTTCCCAAAAACGCTGTAAGAAGAAAGTATGTTGGTGTTATTATGTGCTGTTGCCAAGTTGATTCCAACTCATAGCAATCCTGTATAAGGTTTCTGAGGTGTAGCTGATGGGTTTGAACCATTAACCTTGGGGTTCAAGCCAACCTCATGGGCCAGTGCACTATCCTGCAGCGCTACACCAGGACTCCCGAACTCTAAGTATAGAGAAGACTTAAAAAAATAGAAATAGCATCTCATTTGGAACTTCCTCTAGAACACTACAAACACATACCACAAAGGAATTAGATTTTAATAAGGGTAATTTAAGTTTTGATGTATTCATTTAACAATAGACTGAATATCAACTCCATATGCACCAGCAATTTACTAGGTGAGTAAAACAGATGTGGTCCCTACTCAGAATATACAGGTTAATGGTAAATTGTAATCATTAATTTTTTAAATCTAGTATATACAGAACAGTTATTGAACATCTAGTGTGATTAAGTCCTTCTATCACATGAGTCCTGGTGTGGCGCTGTGGGATAATGGAGTGGACTGCAAGGTTGGTTTGAACTGCAAGATGTTATTGTTGTTGTTATGTGCCATCGAGTCGGTTCCGACCCATAGCGACCCTGTATAGGGTTTCCGAGGGTGTAAATCTTTACGGGAGTAGAAAGCCTCATCTTTCTCCCGCAGAGCAGCTGGTAGTTTCGAACCGCTGACCTTAAGGTTCGCAGCCCAATTCGTAACCACTACGCTACCAGAAGATAGGCGGTTCAAACTCACTAGCCGCTCCTCAGAAACCATATACAGGGTTCCTATGGGTCGGAACTAACTCGATGGCTGTTAACAACATCACCACACTAAGAAGCCCTGGTAGCTTAGTGGATTATGAGCTGGGATGCTAACTAGAAGGTCAGTAGGTCGAATCTAACAGTTGCTCCGTGGGAGAAAAATGAGGTATTCTGCTCCCATAAAGATTTACAGCTCAAAAACCCTATATAGGTCGCTGTTTAGTGGCATTGACTCGACAACACTCAACAACAATCACCATATTGCTTCTATACATACTAGTGTTGTTGTTAAGTGCCGTCGAGTCGGTTCCGATCCACAGCGACCCTGTATAAGGCTTCCGAGGAGCAGCTGGTGAGCCTGAACCAACGACCTTGCAGTTCAAACGGCTTTGCAGTTTGACGCGTTAACCCACAGCGCCACACCAAGACTAGTACATAGGCTTAATTCTCTGACAGACCACTAAATGACTTATCCCAAAATCTTTGGCGTTTGACATCTTATGATCTTTTATCTAATTATCTGCTGATGCTGGTGTGCCATGGAGTCAGTTTCGACTCATAGTGACCCTGCAGAGTTATGGAGCTGAAAGCCTCATCCTTCTTCCATGGAACGACTGGTAGTTTCGAACTGCTGACCTTGAGGTTAGCAGTCCGACTGGTAACCACTATGCTGCCAGAGCTCTTTATCTAATGTTGTTTTTGTTGTTGTTAAGTACCGTGGAGTCGGTTCCGATTCATAGTGACTCTACACCGGGTTTCCGAGGCTGTAAATCTTTACGGGAACAGAATGCCTCATCTTTCTCCTGCGGAACCACCAGTAGTTTCGAACTGCTGACCTTGAGGTTGGCAGCCCGATTCGTAGCCACTATGCTACCAGAGCTCCTTAATACTCCTTTAATACCATCAAACTGTCTAGCAGTTTATGTTTCATGTCTAATATGAATGCAAAATGTATTTTAACAACTTGGTTACGTTCTCAATGACCTCGATGCCTGCCATCATCTTGGGGTGTTCCAAAACTACAATTTTACTACCAGGTAGTAGTAAGTGTTCTTAGACAGGTAGGGGCTACCCTGGGTGCATTCTGGCTCCAACCTTGCCCCTCCCCTCCCTCATCCATCAAAGGGAACTTGTGGGTGGTCCCATCGAGAAAAGATGAGTAATGTGGGTGGCCACCCCTTAAAACCTACCACTTTATCCACCTCCTTAATACACCATATCGACAAGCACACCTCACTCCCTTCACCCACAACCTCACCAAGCCAGAAACTCCATCCTTTCCCCAAAACTTTCACAAACGTTCCTCAGACTGCCTGCCAAGTCCAATCCTTTTTTCCCGGCCGTCATCCTTCCAAGCCGCTTTTTTTGGCCTCCTTCACAATTACTCAGGGTCCTCCAACCCTTTCTCGTCAGTCTCACTGCCCTCCTGCCCCAATTTTCCGTGGACTTCTGGATGCATCTGTCTCCTTACCGCCTCCTCTAGATCCATAGCTTCTCGGTTAGCGACTCTGTGCCAACTCCACTAAATCCCGTTACCTCGGCAGCGAGCGCAACTTCCGGTAGCCGCGAAATAAGCCCTCCGTAGAGAAACAAAATACCCGGACTTTTAGATTCCGGCCATTTCCAGCTCAAGTGAAAACTTTCTCCGCTGGTTCAAAGAGTTAAGCGCCTTCGAGTCCATTCCGACTCATAGCAAGTTGCTGGGTTTGAACTGCCTATCTTAATGGTTCTCAGTCCTGCGCTGATCCTACAGTGTCACACCAGGAGTCCCGGTTCATGGAGTAAAGATCAGTAAATTTCACACCTAAGAGAATCCCCTTATCTTGTTGTTAGATTCCCTTCTAGACGGTTTTTACTCAGCGATTCTATTTACAGCAGAACCAGAAACTGCCCAGTCCTGTGCCATCCTCACAGTCATTGCCATGTTTGGGTCCATTGGTGAAGCCACTCTTTGTGATGTCAATTCATCTCTTTGAGGGTCTTCCTCTGTTTTGCGGACCCTCTGTTTTATCAAACATGATATTCTTACCAGAAACTGATATCTCCGGATAATATGTCCGAAGTATATAAGACAAAGTCTCCCTATCCTTGCTTCTTTCTAAGAAGCATTCTGTCTGTGTTTCTTCCAAGACAGATGTGTTTGTTTTTCTGGTAATCCATGGCATTATATTAACTTTAAGAAGCTTTAGTACTCTTAGCCAATACAATAATCCAAATGCATCGATTCTTCTTCGATCGGTTCCTTATTCATTGTCCTTTTTGCAAGTATATGAGATGACTGAAAATACCGTTGCGTGGGTCAACCATACCTTAATCCAAAAAATGAAATCTTTGCTTTTTGACACTTTGTTGTTGTTAAGTGTTGTCGTCTACCCAGAGTGACCCTGTGTAGGGTTTCCGAGGAGCGGCTGGTGAGCTTGAACCGACGACCTTGCAGTTCAAACAGCTTTGCAATCTGGCGCATTAACCCACAGTGCCACACCAGGACTCTGGTATCAGTTTTGCAAGGATGTAAATCTTTACAGGAGCAAAAATACCTTATCTTTCTCCCGCTGAGCTGCTGGTGGACTTGAACTGCCTATCTTGTGGTTGTTGTTAAGTGTTCTGGACTCAGTTCCTACCCGTAACAATCCTGTATAGGGTTTTTTGTTTGTTTGTTTGTTTTTAAAGTTTTATTGTGAATTATGTGATAGTTTACATGGGAGAACATTAGTTTTACATTCATCCTATTCTATATAGTTTCCTTGCATGGTTACAATCCCCTCCATGCATCATCAACCAACTAAAGGGTATACCCTACAAGCCTGGCCCCTCCCCGCCCCCTGGATTGTCAGCACACAGCCCCTCTCCCTCTCTGGGTCTAGAGTACCCAGCTGCTCCATCTCTCCAGGTCATTGTCTTTGCCTCCATCTCTGGCATAACTGCTTCTCTGGGTAGGGTCCAGCTCCTGTGCCCTTCTTCCTTGATGGTCCCAGGGACCTCCTCTCCTAGACTGCAAAGTTAAAAACTGCCCCCTTGCTACAAAACGTCTACCTTTACATTTCCAACCCTCACAAGCAGTCCTGATAACAATTATTCACCATTGTATCATAAGAGACCTATCGGCATTTCCTTCCATCAGCCTCGCCCAGACAAATTGAACACTACTCAGTGGAGATTCTAACTTCCTCCACGCCCTTTGTTTCTAGGTTATCTCTTGAAAGCTTGTAAGCCAGTCACTTCTTGCCTTTGTAGCCCCCTTCCCCACCACTTTGGGTAGCCAATGTCCAAGTTGCCCATCCCTGTCTATTCTGTGTATGGAGGGGGTGGGAATGATTCGTGCTGTAATGATTTGTTCCCTCTTTTGAGCTACTGCATCCATAGGTGTAGGTCAAGTTCATCAAATTGTATCAGATTACTCTTTTTTTCCTCTTCTCTCTTCTAGTTGAGCTCTGATCATCCAGTCATTGAAGCCAGGTCAAACGGGTATTATTTGCCAGTGTGGGTGTTCTTATGCATATGCCCTCTTTTATCAGCTTCACTCTGCACTCTAGTCCTCTGTGGCTATGTCACTGACTCTGGGCCCAAGAGTCCCCAGGTCTTGCCACACTGCTAGCCAACCAGGTCTTCACTCGGGTTCACAGGAGTCTATTGAACTGTGTAAGGCTTAGCTCGCAGCTTCATTGCTGTTTTTCCCTCACTTCCCTTTATTGATGATCAATGTGGTCACCCATCACACCATGTATTCCCATTGAATCTTAGTCTTGGAAGGGGGGTTGCTCTGAGGGGAACTGAACACTTGCCTTGATGTCTCCTGTGCGAGCAACTTGCTTGTTCTTGTAGTAGTCGGTCTGCCTATATTATTTTGTATTTTTTCCTGTGTGGGTCTTTCTTTCAGGAAGTATCTTCTGTTCTTCTAGCCACTCCACGCTGGTCTGCCCATCCTTTCAAGTGGAAATTTCCCTCCTCTGA